ATACAGCTTCTTGTCGATTGTAGCGCTAAGTAACCATTAATTCTTGATTTAATCTTTGTTCTTGATCAGGCATCCATTTGCAGAAACTTATTAGAGAAGGTACTCAATGATTCCATTTATCTCATTATTCTTCAATATGCTCTGTGAGTGTCAGATTTTTTTCAAACCACCTTTTTCATTATGCATACAAGAAATTATATTTGCCCTTTTCTGATTTAAGTATATGTAGCTAATGTAATCGACCTGAGCTGACATCTCGATTTCAATTACTTTTCCACCAGCGTCTCATGGCTTCCCTCTACCTTTTCCACAAGTAGTTTCATGTCAATTTTTCTGATGAGCTGTTATCTTTACTATCACGACTTCATAGATATAGTGTATCACTAGATCGACAACTAGGTCTTACGGTTTACCTTATGAATTAGACAGATGCAACCATCAGTTCTATTCTAATATTTTCTTTTCTCGTACTTTTCGTTTCTGGAAGTCTCTTCATATTTTCTGCTTGTCTGCCATACACAATCTCAAATAAGTTAAATGCAACAACAATCGTTATCGTCTGGCTTCATTGATTTTGTATTACGACAATTAATTTATATTTATGTCGTTTGTTAGCAGTAATTTCTTAATTGCAGACTGTATATATAGAGAGCGGCTACAGTTAAGACCTTTGCATATGATTACAATTTGTTATAAAACACGAGAATATCTACTTCTATGAACTAATATGGAACCGAAATTCTGAGGTCGGATTAGACAACTTTTAAGTTAATCACAAGCTGAGTATAACGAGCCTCTTGTTGCCTATCGCTACTTGCATAGAAATTGCTTGGATGAATTACATTACTTAGTTCCGCCATGTCTAATATTCACAGGTAGGACTCACCATGCCATTTAAATGGTAGCAATCAACCGACATTCTCTTTGTATTCCGTTGGTGAGAAGTTCCACTCAAATCGTTTCTTCCCGCTAACCTCTGCTCTATGAAACAGACTCCCAAGTGTATGCTTCCCTAATCACTATAATCTTAAACAGTTCAACTCTAGAGTTAAATGTTATGTTCTACTTTTATCCCAATAAACTAACCCTTAACGTAACCATCTACCTTAAGCGGTTCCGGATCATATACAAGGGAAGACCCACTGTAAAATAAATATTGAATTCACGGCCCGTTTTAGAATGTTCTTTATTTAAATCGTTCTAACTATGAATGAGATATTTTACTTAATTTCTGAAGTTGGATTGACCTACTAGTATTGGCCGTATACAGGAGGCCTATATTTTTATATAACATGATACTGTCTGAATCATCCGATTTCGACCAGTAAAAGTAATCGGCTTATGCACGAAAATGTACATATTTAAGACTTAAATTGACAGATTTCTGTTACAGACGAATAACAAGGGTTGAGAGAAAGTAGATTTTAACCCTATGGGTCCGGCGTATCTGAAAAAATTTAACCCTTCTGCCTGAGCTCCTGAGTCAAAATTCGAAAATAATTGGTATGTAAAGTTTCACGGTAGATAAAAAAAAAATATTTACAAGTGTTTATCCACCGTTCACCTGGTGGCTAGGCATGAAATCATATTTCTCTACGACTGTTCAACCAGTGGTTGGGCATTACGTCATTTTTCTCTACCAGAGGTAAAGCGCTCAGGGCTCAAAGGGCTAATGTTTCAATATCGCAAATAATGAAGGCCGTTGAAAATCAGTATGGCTGACAATGGTTGAAATACTGATGCTGAGCGTAAGACAGCATCAAGAAAAAAAATTCGATATTTCATTAAACCTAAGTTAGCCTGGTGTAAGACAGCATGTCCAGTAATGTGAAAAGGAAGAATGAGCTGCGCCTATATTCTACAAAATGGCTGCTTGCATATCTTAAAATTAGCATTCAAATCGTGGATTTTAACCTGCATGCTCACATTAATCAATTTGCCGGAGTTATGCTCCTATCTATTTTAAACACAAATGTAAGTTAATAAATTTGTGTGACAATCACCAGCCACATTGCTTCAAGTCGGGGATTGAAACAGAGAATTAAACAGAAAATTAAATAGATTCTACTAGCTTCAAACTATGTCAATAATTCTCAATCTGTCACTACTGTCATTAATTTTCTAATTAAATCAGAAAACGTTGAACAGTCTATAACTCACATTCTAGTTAAGAAGTACAAGGGAGCAGAAAAATAATTAAAATGAGACCAGAAGAAAATACTGTCAGTTATTTCAAGTACATATTTTCATTTTAAGAAAGGATCAGATACACCGGTGCTTGTACGATCACCAAAATTAAGCAACGTTGAGAGTGGTCAGATGGGTGACAATTTTTAAAAGCCATGTTCTGTAAGCTTGGATATGTGGGTAATGTAACAGATCACGGCTGGCAATTGGAAATCTGATAACCAAGTTCCAATTCCAGTCGGGTTTGTTACATACGGGCAAATAACATTGGGATACGTATGAATCCAACTTTTCTCTACTAGCAATGGGTTAATTAGTAATACTTACATCACTATATCATTATTATTTTCACGACGTTCTTACAATTGACAATATATATTTTCTGGCTTTAATTTACCTACAAACAGTTGATAAGGAATAAAATACAGCTCGAAGAAATCCAATCAAAGGATCAGATAACAAAAATGCATTCATTAGTTTTTCAAAGACATATTTGATGTCGCCAAACTGTTTTAATGTTTGATTTAGCCCTCTACCAAAAGTTTAATTTTGTGATGGCATGTTCGATCTTGCCGAATAAGATCCACTTTGAGTCAGCTTGAATTTAAAGAGGATGCTCTTCTTTTCACTTGAAGAGAAGTATTTAGCTCAAAATCTATCGTTATGACGGTTGGCTCGAATTTGAACAGCGACGTTCACGAAGTAGCTCATATTCAATCAGACATTGGTTTCTATTTTGATTTGAAAACTTTTTAATCAACACGCCACACCAAGTCCGATTTAAAAGATGGAGGAGAACAACGGTGGATTGGGACATCACAGATACAGTCATATCCGTCCAGTCCGAAAGCCATTTTCACAAGTGTCCAATTGCAGACACAGTGACATATCTCGGTGAAGAATTGACCGGAAGTTGACCCAGTGGGAGGAAATTGTATTCATCGTGTGGATTGGAGCGGCTTATACCTAAAGGCAGATGGTTTTGCATTCGTTTACACTAGTTTCTATTTGTTATGATAGTTTTCTGAATGTTATCCATTCTGTCATTTGACTCTATCTATCTATCTATCTATCTATCTATCTATCTATCTATCTATCTATCTATCTATCTATCTATCTATCTATCTATCAGGTGCATATACCGATCTCAATCTCTGTCTGTCTGACTGTCTGTCTCCCTTGCATTCTCTCTCTCTCTCTCTTTCTCTCTCTCTTTCTCTCTCTCTCTCTCTCTCTATATATATATATATATATATATATATATATATATGGAAAACTCTTCCATTATGAATTAGGTCAGAGGTTAGTCTACACGTATCTATCTATCTATCTATCTATCTATCTGGCAAAATCTTAATTTACAAGTCTTTACATACCCATCTCAATATATATAAATGTGTGCGTGTGTGCTTGCACATGTGTGTGTATGTAGCAGACTTATATACCATGTATACGATCACATCTCTCTATATACCTATAAAACAATGTACATATCAAAGTATGCATATATGTATCTATCTATCTGTTTCTCAATTAGTCAATCCACTATTGTTCATGTTTTTCTTGCAGAGACACGCACATACTCTGTCTCTGCCTGTATCTCTCTCTCTCCCTCTCTCTCCTTATATATGAAGGGTGAGATAGGGAGAGAAAAAGAGAAATAAACACTATAAGACTTACTGATATCTATCTATCTATCTATCTATCTATCTCAGTCTATTCAAATATAATATACTGACTTCCCATGTCCATTCTCATATCTTTTGAAAACCATTTATCTCTGTAACGATGATCTAGTAGGGCGCCTGCCGTCAAGCAATGGTGGAAAATGTCGTTTTGCAACACATTACTCATGATTAATCTACTCAGGCAATGCTCTATTCTGAACAGTAGACATATTATTTCATGTTGAATAATTATCTTAATATGATTTATTCTTACATATATATATATATATATATATATATATATATATATATATATATATATATAGTGAGTGATTGGTAAATTGTCGCCATATTATTTTTTAATTTCCCGTTTGCACGTTTTTTGTTTTTTGATTTTATAGGCTGCACATTATAGTAGGGTCAGTTGAACACCATTTGTGAGAAAAAAGAGCACCATGGCGCATTTCACTCCGCCAGAAAACGGCATGCTGTACTGCTTGGCATTCGCGCCGGAAGCTGCAATACAAACATTTCCTTGGGTGTCAATCTGAAAACAGTTTTGAGGATTCGGAAAGAGATTAGTGAGTCTAATATTGATTATGTAGATATTTTGAGCAATCACTAACGGTGGCGACGTTATGCCTCTATTCATCTCCACACAAGACCCCAAACTCAACACGGAAGCCTACAGCAAATGATTCTAACTTAAAGGCCCTTGAAATGTCTAAGCTAATTGCTCTGGTCACAAATCTTGTATATTCTGTGAGTTAAAACATCAGTATTGGACCTCGGGTAGCTAAAAACCATAACTTTTGACATTTAAGAGGCTATCTTGGATGAATTGATCAGGTTTCAATTTTTTTGGTGAACCTATGAACATTTCAGCCGACTCTAGTATCTTTCTCATTTAGGATTATATCCTATTTTAAGATCATCTAGGATTATATTTTGGATAATGTGATCATTACTTACATTATTCTGACTGTTACCTTTTACATTATTTGTACTCTTATACTCGTTTCCATTGCCATATTCACAAACGTTTCGGCAACAGATAAGGATAACGAATAATGTAAATAATGTAAGGAATCATAATAACTAATCTCAAAGATATAGACAGGTAAAGGGATCATGTTTCTTTTTTGTTAATGATACTAATGATGGTTGATAAAAGATGGTGACTGCTCAAGTTATCCGAAAAGATATATAAAACTTGTGGTTGATAAAAAATTACGTAGCATTACTGACACTTCTTAAGGTCTTTGTCTTTTATCTTAAATTATTCTGAGTATCTTTGTAACTTAATTTGTTCTGAGAATATATTCTTTTGTAATATACGTGTTTTCTTTCTTTGTTTATTTTATTTTATTTGTGTGGGGTAAGTTTATTTTTAAATTGCATATGATTAAAATGTGGGGTCACACGTGTGTGCGTTTGTGCATGTATATGTGTATGTAAATCTCCCCTATCCAATTCCAAGAATCTGACTGAATTTATAGACATCAAACATTTTGCAGGCTGATATTCTGGTCAGCCCACGAACATCTCAGTAACCTCCACACACACACACACACACACACACACACACACACACATTTATATATATATAATTAATTATATTATATATATAGATATCATATATATAATTCATTATATTATATTGTGTTTAAATTATGTTATATATAAATTACATTGATTAGAAATCCCAAAATAACCCAATTGAATAGGTATTTCCTCCTAACAAGAGGTTCCTTGCAGGATTTGTCAACACCAAGATTTAACAAAAAAAAAAAAAACTAATATATATATATATATATATATATATATATATATATATATATATATATATATATATATATATATATATATATAATCCTTTTGCCTGGTTTACTTTCATATAACCTTATGCTTCCATTCCTTATTCAAATTATCCTTTGCCCATTCCTCCACCATTCATTTCCTCTCTTCCCTGACCTCGTTTTCTTACACTCCATAAGATGTAGTCTCTTCGTCTAAAGAGTGAAATTGATTTCAATCCAGGATTTGTGGTTCGATCGGACACTACGCCCCACTGGTTGTCAGAAATGCATAACTGTCAGATACATAAATCGGCATAAATAACACTATAAATAACGCTATTTTGTATTCTTCAGATTCTCTTACCGCATGACTGCAGCCTGAAGTGACTTATTTGCAGACATTAATTAAAAGTTTTGTGGTCCATTTTTGAAGCCTTTATATTCATTCTTAGGTGGATTCGACATTTATCTATCATAGGCGTTTTGTAACACTTTCCAATAATTATGTTTTATCTTTCACTTTTGAGATAAAGATTATAATTTATTCAAAACTATACTTCCTATCTAGATAATTAATTTAGTCATTACAGACACAACGTTTCAGTCAATCGTTAGGCACCTATTCCTTTGTATCATATGAAGTATATATTGATTATTGTTTTATTTTATTCATGCGATTTCAGTTCTTATTAGTTCCTACAAAATAATTGAAACGCTGTGTCTATAACAATATCTATTATACTAATCAAAATGAGATCGACACCTGAAGATAATCGGTAGGTATTTAGCTGAAACGTCGTGTCTATAATAGCATCTATAATAATAAAGAAGAGAAGAATAGCCCCACATCTGAAGATGGTCAGAAGTTATTTTGCTGGAACGACATGTCTATAATAGCATCTATAATAATCAAAATGAGAATAATAGATTGACGCAAGAAGATGGCCAGAGGGTACTTGACTGAATCGTCGTATCTATAGCAACATCTACAATAATCAAGATGAGAAGAGTAGATCAACACAAGAAGGTGGCCAGAAGTTATTTTGCTGGAACGGCATGTCTATAATAGCATCTATAATAATCAAGACGGAAACAAAGGATCAACACAAGAAGATGGCCAGGGGTACTGGACTGAAGCGTCGTATCTATAACAACATGTACAATAATCAAGATGAGAAAGGATCGTACGATTAAAATGAAGCAGATTGATAAGTCCTCATCGAATAATTGAAATTAAAGAAAGAAATCACGCCTTCGAAAAATTTTGACCAAGGTTGAATGAATAAGAAAGTAAGGAAGCAAGAATGAATAAAAAACAATTAACAGATAATTTGTAAAAAGAATATCTACTTAAATATGATTATCGTTATTGTCAACATTTGTAGTATCATAGATATCACAAAAATGTAAATATTTCTCTCACTATTTTTGTCTGTCGATTGATTTCGAACTCTTCACATTAGTTCTGCTTACGGTGCACTCCATCGCATGCAATTCCAAGAAAACCAAGGATCGTACTAATTGCAGTTCTGTTCACCAGGCAATTGAACGAATAAGCCTTTCGTTGGCGCTTAGATGAAGAAAGCCATTGCAAATGTATCCGAAGCCGAATTACATTTCTTATCAGTTGAGATAAGTAATCATTTCGATTTTGTAGTTTTGATCATTCGGCTAATCGATCGAAGCCGAGCACAGATAATTTAAATTTGATGACATGAGTCCAACATTCGGCTTTAAGTCAATTAGATCAAACTCACAAATGGACACCCGACCCGACGATCTCCTTCAGCACTTAGCGGTTGGCCAGAAGCCAAGGAACATTTTGGAAATTGTGTCGCATCTGAGAGGAAATTCCGTGACATATTTTGCTGTCATTCAGAGCAAAAGGAACCTGCAGTAGCCTTCTGGATGGTTTGAATATTCTGACCTTCATCATAAATTGGACATTCTTTTTAGATATTTACAATTCGAAATTCCTTATTCGGTACGCGTTTCTACATACTTAGGCACTTCTGCCCTTTCTGCTCGCTGGGCGAGATAGTTGTGTGTTTGTTTGACCCATGGCCAATGGGAAAACAACACATCGATAATACCATTAACCGCGTTAAATTGTACAGTCAATACTCTTTTAACGACAGCTAAGACATACAATCAGTTATACAGTCGTAACCAGTCGCTTGATATCGTTGCACAAAATCATTCATTGGTATTGCTTTCTCTTTCTTCAAAATGAATACATATAAAAAATGAATAAAGAAAATGAAAATTGGAAAATTACTTATACTATATTTAGAGGGTGCGATGGGTTAAACTGTATAGTTTTTATTTTTCGTATGCGCGTTGCTAGTTTTTTTTTTATTTTGTCGACTGCGCACTATAGTAGGCTCAATCGGGCAATATTTGTGAGAAAAGAACCACCCTGAAGAAATTCACACTTCCAGAAATTTGGAAACGGTATGCTATACTGCTTGGACTTCACGCCGTAAGCTTTAATACGAACATCTTTGATCGTTTGGGTGTCAGTTGGAGGATAGTACAGAGGATTCGGAAAGAGTTGGATGAGTCTAATAGTGATTACGAAGGTACGGCATCTGGGAAAAATCACTCTGATCGTTCTGATAAGAAAATCACTTCCGAAGTTTCTGGTGAAGGCCTCAGACTCAATACGGATGCCTATATCTAGTGTCTTGAGGTGGTAGTTCTGCCTAAGGTAAAGCCCTCCTTCCACATTATGTACCCCATAAATTGCAACAGTTACTGTCTTTTTTTTTTGTTTTAGAATTTCATTCCAAACAAATCTGGAGTGCCACTACCACGCAAGGGGTTACAAAGAGTAGGGGGAAGAGTAAAAAGGCGTGATAGAGAAAAATATGAAGAGAAGGACGGAGAATTAGATCAAAGCATCTGAAAATGACGATTGACATTGCATTTGAATAATTGAAGATTATAGCTATTAGGGAAGCAAGTAAGAGGAAAGGAGCTCCACAGACGGGAAGTGCAAGACATGAAGCTATTGAGATAGAAGTGACGCCTATATTTAACAGTTTCGACAATGAAATGGTGGGACTGAGATGCCAAACTAGTAGCACGTTTAAATTCGTATAGTTTGGAAACCAACGAAAGTAGCTCGTCGGAGCAGTTACCGTGAAAGTATTTGTAGAAATGACAGAGGGAAGCGACGGCACGTCTGTGAGAAAGTGACTGTAGACGAAATGCCAGATCAGAACCAATCACGTTGCATATTCATCTCCGGCTTTTGTCGAGGATATTGAGACAAAAAGCGAGAGCTCCAGACCATATATAGCAGCAATATTCTATGAAAGGGCGAATGGTTGAGTTATAGAATTATAGGATGGATTCAGGCGAGAAAAAATTTTCTGGCGCGGCGCATAGAACCAATTTTCCATTCTGAATCTAAGTATATGTCCTTTTTCTATTTCCTTGTTGTTAAATCCATGATATTCACCTAAGGACAACAGCATCTTTTCTCCCTCAAGTCTCTTCCTCATCTGCGAGAAAATTATCAGGCATGCATTATCATATAGGAGGACCTATACTACATAAGAGTTTATTTGGTTCTAACGAAATGTTACAAATGGTGCAAGATTGGCGTTAGAATATTCTATAGCTGGTGAGCACAAACCCATTATACTAGTATTAACACGGAAATACCTGAAAGAGATATCAGGAAGAAATTCTCAATTAGCGACCAGATCATTTAGAGATAGGTTTGCTAGAACATTAACTTGGTAGTTAAGGAAAATTATTTTTAACATCTTTACATATAGCTGTCTTCATCTGTGACGTACATTCAAATAATCAAAAGTTTATTCGGCATCGTAGTGCAAAAATACATCAAATATTGAATTTTATGAAGATTTATTTGACGAGAGTCGATCAAAAAGAGATCATATTTCGATTTTATAATTTCTTAACAAGTGAAATTAATGTCAACCGGCTTAAGTCGATTGGTCTTACTAATTCTATAGCTGAAGTGTGCACATAATAAACCGCAGTACATCATCATGGTAAGTCTCAATTAACTAATTTGGGAATGCAAACATTGTGTTAGGACTTCTCTTACTGATATCTACTCCAAAACTATAAAAAAGAATAATCGTTCTGTGTAAGACGTTAAACAACATCCGTGTCCTGGGTAAGACGATAAACTGCATCCAGCAGCAAGGCCTCTGATCAGGAGGTTTTGAGGAGCGTGGAACCACCTCTTAATTGCTGGTGTTCCCAAGTCCACCCTGACACAAGTTGGTAACACCTGTTAGGATCCCAGCTATGGGCAAATAGTTAACTATTACCAGCAGTTCTTTTTTGAAAAGAAAATATTATTAGCAATACAATTTTGAAGGAAAAATATTACCAAAAACAGATTTTTGACGAAACAAAATGTTAACATCAATAAAACAATTTTGTCGGCATTAAATAATCTACTGAGGTTGATATGCCGTAAAACAAAAACAAAAAAAAAAAAAAAAAAAAAAACATATCAACTCAGACATGTCTACACGTATGTATGATTGTATGTATGTATATATCTATCTATCTCATAAAATTTACGTTATTCAACTCTATATCAGTTCGTTAATATATTGATACGTCTATAGGGTACACTGAGCCTGTAATATCAAGTCTAGGGATCAAATCACAATTTCACTCCACAAAATTCGCGAAGAAATTTTAATCCATTAGGCTATTTTCTGTATGTTTGTCTGTCTGTATGTCTGAATCTGGTTGTTCGTTTATCTCTCATTCTATCTCTGTCTCACTCTCTCTTACTCTCACTCTCTCTTCATATATATATATATATATATATATATATATATATATATATATATATATATATATATATATGTGTGTGTGTGTGTGTGCGTGTGTGCTCGTGTGTGTGTATGTGGAAATTAAAATAAATGAGAGGGAGAGAGATGCATACATGTATATCTCTGTTGGGTGATCTCTCTATCCATTATCCAACCTGTTGCAATTATGTATAAGTTATTTCTATTCTCTCTCTCTCTCTCTCTCTCTCACACACACACACACACACACACACACACACACACACACACAATCTATCTATCTATCTTTTTTCTTTCTTTCATTCTTTCTTTCTCATTTTCTTTTCTATCTATATATGTCTTTCTCTTGTGGCATGTAAAACTCTCCACCTCTCTCTCTCTCTCTCTCTCTCTCTCTCTCTCTATCTATCTATCTATCTATCTCATTTTATATTTCTAGCTCCATAACTATATTTCTGTTAATTTAGCAGAAACTATCCATATCCCTTTTGCTCTTTCACACACACACGCACACACAAATGCACACACACACACACACACACACACACACACACACACACACACACACACACACACACATATATATATATATATATATATATGCATGGACGTATACAGTCATATACTGTATACGTGGTGTAATTATTCTATTCGGGCCAAAACCCATAACAGATTGATCAAGCGCTTCAAATCAATATAGTCATGCATTCTGACTCAGCGGATAATTCACACATCTTTTGAAATCACTTCAGCTGGAAACAAAGAAACCCATTTTTCACCATTCTTTTCTGCGAGTAAATTTCGCGCCTCGTCTTCCCGCAACCTATGGGTAGCACCTCGGATATAGAATAGTGCTAATAATCAAATACAATCCTATATATATATATATATATAATTTAGCTGTTGCAACCAGTATATATATATATATATATATATATATATATATATATATATATATATATATATATATATATATATATATCCTGTGTTTTTAAATTGTCCAAATCGTGTAACAGCAAGATTGTCCAATTGTTAGATTAAGCTTTGAACCGTTGTATCTAATAAATGGTTATCGATATCGTACTGGAATTGTTCGAGGATTTCATAACACTACTTGACTATACTTTGAATAATAAGTATGTATTTAGCTTTAAGTCGAAATCATGATCCCTATTGCTGATTTGACCCCCTGATCCTATTTTCCTCTCGACTGTTCCCACTTTTGTAAACTTATTCACCGTTCTCTATATTAATTTAACGTAGCGAGTTCTATACTTATAGTTCTCGGGGAATTCGCAACATCCGGTATGATAATCAGTTTGAACAACGCCAGTATGTTTAAAGTAAAAGTAAAGCTAGTGACTTAGTATTAGTACAGTTATTATCGCTTTCGGAACAGTTTCTTCGACGCACTTCCATTCACAATGCACTATTCTCTGTGTATTTCACGGAATTCTTAACAGCTTCTCTCACGGGAATCATTTCCTCTGGAATTTATTTATTTAGCTATTATTTATATATTCTTCAGTGTTTCTGGTCATTTTTTCAAGGTTTTCAGGAATAATTATAATTTTAATTTATAATGCAATGTGCTTTGGTGTAATATATAATTCACGTTCACAATATATAATTATAGATTTTGCTACATTAAATTTTTAACCGGGAATCAGGAAAATCTTTAAAAATTGAGAAAAAAAAATTGAAGAATCCTTCACCATGTCATTTCGTTGATTATTATTTAAAAGTATATTAGAGAAAGTCTGCTGCACAAACATATCTACTGTCTCTACGTTTATACACACACACACACACACACACACACACATATATATATATATATATAGGTTCGCGGAAAATTTAATTCCGGTCGAGCACTACTGAGAGAAAGCGCAATTTGTAAACAATGACAACTGCTGCTAATACTGCAAAGCTATTTTCTGAATTGAGCCCTCTCGGTCATTGGCGCGTTTATTCGAAGAATAAATACTTAAATATGCGCCTTACTCTCAACCGGGCACTGGTTACTCAGGGGTAAAATCTCCGACTGATACCAAATCAGTCGTAATTCGATCCCAGCTTAAAGCAGTCGGATATATAGCCACACTGATTAACTGTGATACAGCGAAAAATTCCGTCTCTGGATGACAATATATATACGTTAGGTATATATATATATATATATATATATATATATATATATATATATATATATATATTTTTTTTGGGATGTGTATGCGTGTGTGTGTATTATATCAGAAAGTTATCTTGTTATGTTTACTTTCTAATATTCATGTTTGTCTTTAGCTGTAAACAAATTATCCGTAATTTTATTAATGTTTGGCGATTTTAATTGAAAACTGAAAAAAAATACAAATTTAAATAAGCTATCCTTGGCCACAACACACACACACACACACATAATTTATATATATATATATATATATATAGATATATATATATATAGATATAGATATATATGCATATGTGCGTGCCTCTGTGTGTCGTTGTGCGGAGTGTATGTCTGAGGGTGTTGATATATATATATATATATATATATATATATATATATATATATATATCATCAAGTTGTTATTTCAAGACTAATATTTTTTGTTCAACATTTTAAAATTTTTCACATTTTCTGCGCTCATCTGAAAGTTAATTTATGTTATTTGTGAAGTGAAGAAGGCTGAGTGGGTACCAATGGATTGACACCGCTTCAGGGGAGATAACTTAATAAATGTTCAATTGTTGGTGCTTGATTCTTTAAACGATTGTACATATTTTGAAAACTTTTGTGCAGTACTCAGAATTTTATTACGGTCTGTTTTAATTTTTTTTCATATAGGGACCTTCAAGAATTCATATATATATATATATATATATATATATATATATATATATATATATATATATATATATATATAAATGTATATATATGCACACTACATACGAATATATATATTATTACTTTTAATAATTATAAGTTCAGTGTATATTAAAATACATTTAATTTACAAAATTTACTAGAGTCTACAGTCATTTAATTTTTTGCTAACGTCTTTTTTCAAAATGATGACCGTTCTCGTTCAGGAACACGAAGCAATGGACTCGCAAACATCAGAAAACACTTCGTTTCGTATTTTAGTGTATTCTTTTTCATTAGATGCTCTCAATTCAACAACTGTTGCCTTTGTTTGTTACTTATCCTCATATAAAGTTTAGTGATGTGAGGTCTGTTGAACGCGGAGGGTACTCTACGATACCCCTTCGTCCAATCCACCTTTTTGGCATGATATCATCATGGTAGGATCTAACATCAAGATGGTAGTGTGGATGTGACACACCTTGCTGAAAATAAAACTGTTCATTTACAAAGTCCTCGTTAACGCTTGGCATGACAAGACTGTTGGGGCAAGTACACAGAACCCGTCACGATAGCGTCAAAATAATGGTCTAATTAATTATCTTGATGATAAACTGCACGACGCTGTAACTCCTGGTAAATTGACATGATATTCTACCATAAGATAGGGATTCACCATTCCTCAGTACGTGCAACTGTGGCGGTTAATTAAAACATTTAATTTAAATGTGGCTTCATTTCAGACAATATTTGTTGGAAACTGTGCATCTTCTAAACATTGTGCCAAGTACAACTCATCGGCTTGGATCATTGTCATTAACATCATGGACTAATCTTAGAAAATATCTTTTCCGTCGACCTTGATTCAAAATGCGTTGCACAGACGATTTTGAAATACCTACTTCACGACTCCCCTGTCACACAAATTTTACTGGACATTTCTGAAACTTTTCCAGTAATCTTTCTTGCATTGTAGGGTTTGTCGATATCCTTAGTCTTCCCTAACGCTTCTCGTGGACATTGTGAACATCAGCTTCATTTTAACTATAAGTCGTGTGATGGCAAGTTACATCGGTGAATCTGTTTGAAACCCCCTCCTAAACTGTCTTTGCACTTCAACTGCGCTTTGCACATCCAGTAACCATTTCAGAATGAATCTCCTTTATTGAAATCTTAGATAAATGGCATCAACTTTTTAATGTGTTTATAACCAGGAAAAAAAAAAATAAAATTATTTATATATATATATATATATATATATATATATATATATATATATAATGGTATCAAGCTGGTTTTTCCTGCCTAAAAGCAACAAAACGTATCGGTCAATCTGAAATACAACCCAATATAAAAAGACTCAAAATTATAGAATAAATTCTCGGCTGGGGAAACCAACTACTAGCAACCACTAATCCCTTAGCCCTTTCTTTACCCGTCCTCTCTCTCTCACCTTCCCAACAGACTTACTAATCTAATGTGTCCGTCTGTTGGATTTTACGCAGGCGCTTTCGGTCTAAATAGCTGAACACTTCGGTGTTCAAGAAATAAATTATATACCAAATGGATAATTTATTCACTGCTTCCTTATTCCTTATTATAATTATAATGCGCTGTAGTCTACATTGAGTTCTCCCTGGATTTAAATCCTCCTCGGAATTATCCCTTCCACTCAGAAACTGGTAAGTATATATATATATATATATATATATATATATATATATATATATATATATATATATATGTGTGTGTGTGAAAAGTGTATATAAATATAAATAAATATATATATGTATAATTATTTATATATTATATGCGCGGTACTTATTAGAAAGCGCTCAATATCAGAGATAGAGCTAACATATTTGGTTGGATAGATGTGAGTTTGTGACCCTGGGTTTCACGCTTTAGCGATCGTCAGACAAACTGATTAATGTTTTAAAAAATTTGGGTTTATGTAGATTGCGTGTATTGGTGTTATTGTGGAAGTGGTGGGGGAATTTCGTCGTTTTGTCATTCATCGTACTAACGCAAACATCGATGTATGCAAACACATATATACATACTTGGTCGTCCGTCGGGACTCATACATATATAAACATATGTGGGCAGTTTCGGCTATGACACATGTATGTATACGGGTGGTGTTATATCTATACATACGCATATGTATGTTGAAATGTTGAAATCTAAAACACGGCTTTTAGGAAAACATGACCATAGGCCAACAGCGGAGGGACTGAGAATATTCCAGTCGTAGCTATTCAAATGTAATGTCAATCGACATCTCCAGTTGCCTTGATCTATTCACTACCCTTCTCCTCATCCTTTCTTCTATCACTACTGATCTTGCTCCAAATTTTCTGTAACCCCTTGCGTCCTAGTGGCTCCCCGCCTTGCTTGGGGTGAAACGATTAAAAATATATATATATATATATATCAGAGCAAATCTACACTATCGAAATTAAAGAAGATCAAAACAACGCCTAAACTGCAATACGACAGATTCCTGAAGGACCCAAGTTGCAAGTAAATATAAAAGAAATATCAAACGAACCTATATTTGATTTAAATATGATTGTATTAATATTGTTATTATAATATATTATATTTAAGCACTCTCAGATTTGGTATTAATCCCTCAGTTTATTTGATACTGCAAGCATTTAGATTCGGTTTTTACTTTATATTTTTACTATTTATGTGCTGATACATTCAGGTGAGTGAACCGAACGATTAAACAAAGGTTCGTCTCTGAAACTCTTGAGGTGATGAATATAACATCAATCATCTAAGTGACAAATTTTATATTTGTGATAAAATTTATATTAATAATGGCATTATCACCTTGCTTGAGGTGAAATGATTAATATACATACATATACATATATATATATATATTATATATATATATATATATATATATATATATATATATATATATATATATATATATATATATATGTGTGTGTGTGTGTGTGTGTGTGTTTGTGTGTGTGTGTGTCCAACAGAATAATGTTCGCATCCTTTTCCGAAAGTACATTCTCAGCTTATGTTAAGCTTTGCAAGGTCAAACATAGAGTTTTTTTATTTCTTTTTTATTTACGTATTATTACGAATTGATTTTTATAAATTTTTCTATTCAATTGTAGTGTAATTTGAAGCATTCTTGTATTATTTGTCTGATGCTTATCAAGAGAAGTTAATGAAGCTGTTAATTGACTTGCAAACGAAAACTAACACCTCATATATTTTGCTGAGATATCATTTTCAAAAGCATTTTACTCATTGTTTTTGAAAATTATGCTTCGCTTGTTGAAAAACATCCAAGATAAGTCAATAGTAATGGTCGCCTCTGTAATATATCTACTATATTCATAGATTTGAAATATATATTTTAATAATATTCACGAAATACCAGGTGCGAAACTACTTAAGGATCGAAGTTACTGCATGAAATATTTTATTGGAACGTAACAGGTAGTAGTAGGATGTAAAAGAGTGCAATTATGCGGTGGACAGCTAGCAACTGAATCTCTATTTGAAAAGGCTGGGGTTGATTTCTTTGGGTAAGTATTTATGCAAGAGTCTATTTCCAAAATTTGCGGTGATTGAGAAGAAGCCTTCTCAGTAGATTATGTATGCATTTTTACCAAAGGAATACGTAGGATTTCGGCTGGATACACTTTCAAAGGGCAGACTATGTTATCATGATCTGAAGGCTAGCATTTAAGAATAAAGCACATCTGAATATTTCCACTGGAAATAGCGAAAGAGCTACGAAAACCTGATTGGTTGGTTGTGTTTTTTTTTGTTTTTTTTAGTGGTATGTTTTTTTATGTGTTATTTAATACAGAAATCTAAATATGTTGTACTCAGTTTTATTTTACTCTTTAGAATTAATAATGGTTTACTGATAAATATGTTACTAATTAATCCATAGTTGAGCAGCTGGATTCCTACCTTACCTAAGCGCATTTGCCCGAAAATGAATATAACGAACTGGATTTGAAACTCGGTCAGCCAATTAAAATCTCGAGTCATTATTCTTTACATGACCTGCAAATCCAGGCTTATTGCACATGGATTCCCAAGCGGTCACCCATCAAGGTACTGACTAGGTTTGACGTTGATTAACTTCGTTGTTCGTACGGGGAGAGGTGTTTCAATGTTGTTGATGAGGGCGTAAGCGATATCCTTGCGATTTTGCATATGTGGCAAAGAGGCTATATATTATCTCCTACATTGCCCTTACATATTTTTCCCATCTTGTATCGTACAATTATGTACTTATAGAATCTGAACTAGATAAATACTTGTTCTTCTGTTATCAGTTAAAATAGTAATTTCATATTTCGGTTCGGTATCAGTCTTATTGACGGAGAACTAAAAAATGACGGTTTTATTAGGGCAATTTAAATGTTGGAAAGGGTTACAATTAAGAAAAAATAGCATTTTTCTCTTTTCGATACCCGTAATTCGAGGAGGAAATCGGATTCTTTCGTTGCGTTTGCATTACACTAGACACAGAAAGAAAGCTACAAAAACTCCCACAGAAGGTTTTAAAAGAAAGCGAGATAAAGCACCAACTACAATAGAAGAGTATAGCCAAATAAAAATGTCAACATACAGATTAAAATTGAAGATAGCAAAATCAAACAATTTAAATATCAAAGTAGAATTATAGTTGAGGATGGTAATTGCGAGACAAAAATCTAGAGGCACTTTGGGATAGTAAAAGTTACCTTCCAAAGAGTGAAGCAAAATATTAAGAAGCAGAAGAAATCATTAGAAAAAAAAAAGAAAAGAGTACGAAATTGTTACGTAATATCATTCCTTCTATATTGAAGTCAATGCTGGACAATCTCCTCACAGATGAAGAAGAAAACTGAAGCAATAGAACTGTAGTTCTACAGAAGGAACCACAGAATACAAAGAACCGATCATGTGAGAAACAACAAACTTTTAGAAACAGAAAGTACACATATAATTAACATAAAGTAGAGACAGTTGAAATTTCTAGGACACGTAATGAAGTATACAATTCAACATGAAAAAGACGATGGACATAAAAGCAATACCAATCCAAACAGATGAGTGAAATCTTTTATATGGTCTATGTTAATTACGTTTTATGAATATGTCCTGAAGATGGTCTATTAGACCGAAACGTCCGACATTGACATTAAACATTAAAACAGCATAATCGCAAATTAAGATTTTTGTTTGTTTTTTTTAGTATATTTTTCTTCATACTGTCGGATCTATATCCATATATTTGCTTACATATATATATATATATATATATATATATATATATATATATATATATATATATATATATATATATATATATGTTTTTAAGTATACCACTTCAACTTTGCGTGTATATCACTAGTAGGCAAGAGATTAAGAAAGTATTCCAGGGGTCTGTGGATATAGAGATTGAATTAAACAGGATCAAGGTATCAGAAGATGGCGATTGACATTACATTTAATGCCAAGGAGTGTCCTTTCATAAACTGTTGAAGTGGGAAGAGGCAGCTATATTTAACCGTTTCGACAGTGAGACCAAGATGCCAATCTAGTAGCACGCTTAAATTCATGCAGTTTGGGAACAAAATTTTAGTCACTGGTGCAAACAGTTGGCATCATTTATTCCAGAAAAAAAGAATTGATTAAGCCACTATATCCTGTGAGAGCAGTTTAATGTAGAATTTAATTCAGATTATATCCCTCATTGCATTGCTTATCCGTCTCTGGATTTTGAAGGAGTGAATTAATAGTCGAAGAGAGAAGACGTTAAGGGGTCAAAAATTATTCAGAGTAAACACAGACAAAAATGTTTGGAGGACCATAATCGCCCGTCTCCTGAGAAAATCGGCACATAAGGGGCAAATAAGAAGGGGTAAAAAGAAATCTTAAAATATGAATGATATTGCTTTTTCTAAAAATTGTGCTTTAAATTCATAGATTGCGGTTCGGATTGAGGAATCGGAGATCCGAATTGCTGTCGAGTTCATTACATTCACTTACGTGCTAATACCCTTGGGAAAGGTATGAATCTATCTCTTCTCCCACCAATTATAGGTAAATAATAGGACAGCCTGGGTTCTAGGTAGTATGGCTTCCCAAAAGTTCTACCATTTTGTCATCAGTGTAAACTATTTTATCTTCCTTCAGCATGGCTGATGCTAACCTCCAGGTGAACAATATTTACGTCTTCTTAGTCTCATGTTTTCTACTGATATGGAAAGTAATTATTATATTTAATCAATTGCTAGATCTTCTGCTACGAATGTTTGATCAATTTGACGTTTCGGAAATTTTTTCTAGCCAGCATCTATCTTGTACGTTTATAAATTCATCATTCGTCCGCGTATTGAATATTGCTGCCACGTCTGATCAGATGCTCTTGCTATATCTCAAAATTTAAGACAAAATTAGGCTCTGTAATGTTGTCAGTCTTAACCTGACATCTTAATTCCAGTAATTTTCCCATTAGTGTGTAATAGTTATCTATAAATATTTCATGGAAATTTTATTCTTCCTTGGTATTTCGACTGCATTAATTCAAACGTAGTACTAGTTTAGGGGCCTAGGTTGCATTATTTCCCTTTTGTAATAGCTTCATGTAACTATGCGATCTATTGGAATAGTTTTTTTTTTCTCTCACATCTTGTCTGTGGAAGTCACCTCCAGTTTTCTTATTTCCTTGTAAATTACGATCTTCAAAAATTTAGTATCACTCGCCATCTTTTTGTTCTTCCTGAACCCTGCCATTTATTCTCTTTTCTCTTCACTAACGTCTTTTCCTTTTCACTAACACTCAGTAACCCTTGAATTATAGACTTGCCTTGGTGAAATGTTTAACAAAAACATCTATCTATACAAAGGCCTGACCAAAGTTATAATAGTATATTGCCAAAATATCTAGGCTGAAGCTGCGTCGCCATCAACTTCCAGCCATGAAAAGTACAAAAGAATTTTAGCATCCCTGTAAGTAGTGGATTATTTTCCAACCTGAACCCCTTTCACTACAGACGGCACGGTTGTTTGCTTGTTCAGTCAAACTATATTCCTTAGTTCTACCTGACCAGGTCCTCAAAATATGCGCCCTTACACTCCCACTTTGTACGCCTTTATAAAAGAAGCCTCGCATAAAGAAACCATTTACTTCCGGTTATACGACATTTCTACGTGTTGTGGATGTAGAAGCGAATGTACCTCAGTAGGGCAGGTCGATTTGGGAATCGTTATATTGCACTGATTTCACAAGTAGGGGATGAAAAGATAAATAAAAACCCAAAATATTATGTTCCAAATTGTTACCGTTTATTGAGGAAATGCGTTTAAAGATTGAGTTTACGTTCAAAAGTTTAGTGTTGGTCTCTCATTCCAATGATCCGAGAAAGGCTTAAACCACAATCTTATAAAATTTATAATTTAATGAAACTTTAAAAATTTATGGGGACAAGAAACAAGGAACAAGCACATTATTACTAAATCATTGTACCATCAAATAAGAACTTCATTTAGTTCAAAGGAAAATTATACGGAACAATTTAGATATATAATAATGCAATATGATATATAGTGTAGTAGTCGTGGTGTTTTCCAATAAACAATAAAAATTTTAAACATTTTGTCTTATAATTTGTGCCCAGCACTATTATGGTGATATATATACTTTTATCTATTTGTTTATGTTTTTATTAATTATGATTTAGCAAATAAAGTTACAAATCTATTTCATTGAGTAGTCTTTTATATAACTTTTTACAATTTTCGTTACACAACATGTATTTATCGAATGCAGTAAAAAACAAAATGGATATTTTGTTTGTCGTGATTCATAATTAGAATTTTAGATTGAATATACAGGGTGACCCAAAAAAGGGAACTTTTTAACAAACCAATAAAACAAAGAGTGATAGAAGAAAAATATCTTATTCATAGTAATTGAAACCTTAAAACATGCCATTTAAGAAACAATGATGGAATTTTCATTTTTTGAATATTTCCTGTAGATAGCGTCCTCCTGTACGAATGCATTCTTGAAATCGGCTTTTGAGATTCCTCAGTGACTGCTGCAACATCTCGTCTGGGATACTGTGAATTTCATCTTGAACTCTAAATGGCGAAATGTTTACTTCCTCAAGGTCACTGTCTTGCAGTGTTGCCACTTGCTCATGTTTGGCAATACACATTTCAAAAATTCCCTTTTTTTGGGATCACCTAGTATTTTCCATTCAATATAACTAACGCGAAAGATATTAACTTTATCTGGATTTATGACTGTGAAGTGGGAAAGATTATTCAGTTTTACCCCTGTTTTTTACAAAATCTGTAAAATCTGTTTGTAAGCAAAAACGTGCGGGAATTAGGTATTTCTGTACATTTTTCATACGATCTTCAACATAAAACTAAATATTCAAAAATAGATAAGAACTATGAATCTAACTTTTAGTGTCAGTACTTAGCAAATCAAACCCCATCGACTGAAATATTGATTTATAAAAAAAAAAAAAAAGAAGTGAAAAATTAACCTGCCCTAGTGCCTAAATTGGTGAACTAGAACATTGTATAAACCTTATAAAATAGGACTGAAACACCTACTGTAAATCATGCCCAATGTTTCTAATTCAACACAAGAGAAAAAAAAAATTTTTAACAGGCCAAAATAAAATTCGTGATGTCTATATTTGAATGCGAACCAACCGATGGCATTCTTCAAAATCATGTCGTGTCATCATGAGTGATACAACGTACAACTACGTGTACCGAACTAACAGCGAACATGTGATCGTAATTTTAAGATTGGGACAGAAAGGTGACTCGTATATTTGAAAAATGAATGTCCTTTAAAAATTCTAAGATATATATATATATATATATATATATATATATATATATATTCATACATGTTTAATTAAATAATATAGACAAGTTTTGACTAGTTATTTTATGTAAATTTTTTTCATAACGTCAGATAAGTTTAATAACATTATTATTAAACGAAGAAAGAAAATCACAATATTGATCCATATTTTTTTAATACAATCTGTGCTTTCGGATTACATAAGCCATTATCAAAGATGACAATTACTGTACAATATATTAAGCAATACACATAAACATGAGACGTTTTTGTTACATAAGACGCTAGAACG